GGGAAAAGCAAGAGGAAGTACGTTCATGACAAATTTTTCTTTTTTTAAGTTTTGTTCACCTGCTGTGAAAGAAGAGCCGCTTCACTTTTCATGATTAATTTTTGCAGCGAAAAGAAGACATGTTGATAGTGAGGCGAGCGAAAGAAGTGGTGTCGATGAAAAGAGAGGTCAGTTTTTTTTTTTTTTTTCACTTTCACTACTTTTGGTGCTCTATAACAGGGAAAGATTTGGAAGTAACGCAAGTTATGGGAAATTAGCCGATAGTAATATTACTGCTGCTTCAACAACATGTAATGGCAGACCTGTGAGTGCGTTCATTTACGGTTGCTCTCGAATAAATGTGTATCTCTTGGTTCCACTTACTGTTCTGTGAGGCGTACCAGAGGAAAAACAGTGAAGCGAATAGCTGTCAAGTAATTGGCTTCCCTCTCTTTCCTCCGAAATAATTTTACGTCCGTATGAACCTTTTTTCAACCGTCTTCCAAGGCATTGGCCTACTTTCCCACATGCTTCTTCCTCCTGGTCACCGAATTTCTCGCTGTTGCCACAAACCGCAAAAACACTTTCTGCTTCCTTCAAACTTACCGTACATTTTTCGTCCAAAACCCTGGGGCTGTTTGCTTGCTTGCTTGCCCACTTGCGGAAAGCCAGTGCGGTTATGGCACAATTTATAGATACAAAACAGTTGGGCATGGAGGAGTAAGGGATTATCTCTGTGATGCAGTCATTGCAGTCTCATTCAGCCGTAGCAATGCGAGATGATTGTGCATCGTTCGACATGCTCGGAACTTAATGTTTTTTTTCAGCCCGGGCGATATACGATGCAGACACCGGGAATGATAATGAATATGACGAGTTCCAGCGCCCATCCGAGTTGCAGAGAAAGCAGAAACAAAAGGATGCAATGGCCAGTCTTGTGAATCGTCGTAAGCAGAAGCAAGAGGGTACGCTCCTCATTTCACTTTTTTCCCTTAAGCGCTACTGCAAGGAAAAGAAACATTGGGCGAAGATTGAGCAATGAAGTGAACATAGATTATTGATCTGAGAGGTTGCTTTTACGGGTTATTTGGGCCAGGTGTACAATGGTCCAGTGAAACAGTATTGCTTGATAGAATTTGGCCAGCTTGCTGCGGAACTTTTTTTATCTCTTTTTAACATTGTCGTTGATGGATTAGTTTTGCGACAAGTAGTGTTGCTTTCGGCCAAGAGACTGAGCACTCAGCTCCTCACTGAAAAAATCAAACTCCTTTAGTTCATTTTGGGTAAACTGGTGCTAGCGAGATATGACCGTCAGTTTGCTTATAAGCAATTCGCGAAAAGGGAACCAGCAGTAGTCTTATCAGCAGATGGTCGCTGTTGCCAGTGTGCCAGCATTTGGACATTTTCTGCGCTCTGCTCCTCGCTTTCACGACATGGTGGTGATAGGGCACAGAAACAGCTTACTCTGAAATGTCGGGTACCTCTGCAATCCATCTTTGCTTGTTTCTTTGGATACAATAGATTTCGTTTTGGGATTCATTGTTTGGCTGTTACCAAATCCAGTTTCTTTCACTGAAAAATGAATTCGGTTCGCATTTTCAAGTTTTTGGCTTGTGTAATTTCTTACTCCTAGCACAGAACGCCCGATGTTCTTTTCTGATCGATTTTCATTTCCAGTTATTAGTATCAAAGACTTCACTGATCATCTGCGTTTTGCCTTCTGCTCAGCTTCATAAAAATGTCGTTTATTTTGGGTTGTTAAAATAGGCGCAAAATTGCTACGAATTTTGTTGGGAATTTACTATTAGTAAACACTGGACATTCAGTCACAAGAAACGATCATCGAATGATAAGCACAGTTCATTCAATCCTTTTTTTGTAGTTAACCCCCACCTGAAGACCTTTTTTCTCGTAAAGATGTAGTAGCTCACAATCACTGTGATTTTGTACATACTGACAACTACGAAAGTGAAGTCCTTAAAGAAGATGCAGTGCCGCTTTGGTTTAGAGGTAGTGAACTCCTCAAATTAGTAAAAGTTAGCTTTGAGGCTGAAAATGACGGTTTCCGAATAAATCC